TTCGTCTTTAAGATGAACATTTTAAAAAAATTCTCTAACGTTCGAAATTTTAAACTTAACAGTTTCAACTGTGTACTGATAACAGTCAGTCTAGTCAAGTGGTTTTATAAATATGGATAAATTTAGAACGTGATCCAGCTGTGGTGCAAAATTTAATTGAAAACCGTTTAGTGATTTAAGGCTTGATTATGTGTATAAAAGCTTTACATTTTTATTATTCGTGTTAGAAATGTAAGAAGGCTTCGAAACAAACTCTCTCAAGATTATTGTTCTTATTTCAGAATAGATGCAACATTGAAATCTTCAAGAAAAGAGCATATTCCTTTTCAAATTGTCGGCAGCACGCCTGCAATTCTATCGGCATTGCGAGTGCTCATGACGATAGTTATCATTTTCCATCAGGCAAGCCGCATGCTCGCCAGATGGCATATAAACCCTATCGATTGCAAATAATATTGTTCAAATTAAGTCATATATGGTAAAGGTATTGTAATTTAAATATTTCTATTGAAATAAGTATTGAAAATACAATCATCATCATCATTTCAGCCGTTGCCAACTGTCCACTGCTGAACATAGGCGTCCCCCCATAAAAGGGGGGTTTAGTCATAAGGTAAATAAATTTAAACAATATAATGATGGTATTTACCAAAAACTTGGATAGGTTTGATAGTGAATACAATACGAAGAAATTTCTTCATTAAATAAATTTCTTATTAAAGTGAATTAATACTTAATAATGTTTGTTTCCCTTTTTTTATATTATATTTTTCATCGAAAAGAAGAAAATCTAACAGTGGCTTTATCGTAGACGTAGTGTAACGTCTTCACGTGGCTGTATATACCAGTAACGCCATCTATTGTCGATGTATCTGCACTATGAATACGCTACAATTAAAATATTAAAATTAATATGTATGTACTTTTTTATTGTAAAATTTTATTTAATAACTCTAACTAAGAAAAATCAAAGACAGATTCTTTTTTTGAAAAATTATTCTTTTTTTTTAATACCAGTAAGTATCTATAGATAAGGTAAAATAAAAATAATTGGATTTATTTTTAAGAACGTATTCTAACAAATAATAATTAGTGAAATAACATGTTTTCCCAAATAAATAAGTGTCAAAAACGATAAAAATATTTGAACAATAATTATGGAACTATAGATTCTAAAGTTATATATATAATTATTATATTAATCGGGGAATTTTACCAGCAGTTGCCAAGCATTTAGCAGTCATAGTTACACTTTAATAATATATTAGGGAGGGACGCTGCTGTCCATCCTTTGACCAGTAAGTTATATATATAGCTATTTTTTTTTTATTTATTAAAGGTATACACAACAGGTTACAATCAATAACATTGCAGACATTATGTAAAGATAATAGTATGAACTAGATTGAGACCCAGACACGTGTACACATAGCACGGTTAAAGCAGTCTGCAAACAGTGTTAAATTGTAAAGTTATATAAAAAAAAAACATATGAATTTGGTAAATAACAGTGAATTTATTTAAATTATAAAAATAAAATTATATATCATTAATAATATGTTCAACTTCTTACAAAATAGTCACAAGAGTACTGTTTAAAATTAAGAGTTTCATCAGAAATGGTAACGAACACATGCCGTGGGCATAATATTGTTTTACTAATGAAATGTACTAAATCACCCACACACCCACTCAAAAGTGAAGAGACATTTCATAAAATCAAAAGCAGTTTTTTTTTATACTACTTAGAATGGCAAACAAGCTGACGGCCCACCTGATGGAAAGTAACTGTCGCCTAAAGACATGAGCAGTACCATGGACATAACAGAGTATACTGTTTCGTCCATGATACCCCCCATGCGTTGCCATTCCTGAGGACTCCGGTGTTATTCCTCTGTACCCAGTAAATCCCTTTGATGGTATACTGTATATTCTACTACTTGAATCGACTAAATCATCAGCATCATATCAGCTGTGTACTGTCCACTGCTGAACATAGGGGCCTAAAAGGGAGTTGCCAGTAGTTGCCACGCTTGACAGGCGGATTGGCAACCGCAGTTAGGCCCTCCACGCGGATCCCCTTTGAAACCATTATAGTTAAGTTTTGATGAATTCATCACGATGGGCCAACTGGCTGACTTCATTCTCACCTATCATCCCTCATTGGTGTCCCGCCAGTGTATACGTAAGGCTGCATTTTAAGTCATGTCGTTTGCCAACCTCCCGCGATTGAGAGGAAAGGGATTGTTAGTAATGGAGACTGAGAATCCCATTGCTAGCAATATAACCAACCAGGTCGACCTCCTCACGGTTCTCCCTGGAAATTATCATGGTTAATTCATGATGAATACATCATGATGGGCTAACTGGCCTGTTTTCATTCTCATCTATCACCCTTCACTGGTGCTCCGCCAGCGTATCCCGTTAGCGCAGGCGGCGTAACCATACCATTGTCACCCATCAAAAAAAAAACCTCCCGCGATTATTAAAAAAAATGTGGCATTTTAATCTTTTTGAACTTAGAATTCGCAAACTAAATAATGTTTTCAGATTAGTCGAATAGTTTTATTGTATCGTCTATTCAAAGATAACAAGTCGGTTGTAAAAATAAGGTTCCATTAATCCATCCTTTAAAAAAACTGCAGTTAGGCTTTGATGATGTATTAAGAGAAACGCTGCTGCCCATCCATCGGCCATTTAGTTCCCTTAGTCACCTTTTACGACACCCACAGGAAAAGAATGGATGGCCTATTCTATTTTTTTTTAGTTAAAATGATTCATTTTGTAATTATGAAATTTACGTGCGACTTTGACCGGTATACGTTCACTGGCCGGACAAAAAAGTATATATATATATATATATATATATATATATATATATATATATATATATATATATATATATATATATATATATATATATATATATATATATATATATATAGATTCAGAAGGAGTGAGTGAAAGAAAGATTTAGTACAAGATTGTACAATGAATAATATTTACAGTAAATAAATCCAGATATAATAAGTCGCGGCACAAAATATTTTTCTATAAAATTCTAAGACAAGATTGTCAAGAACGTCACTATTTATTTTTCTACAACTACGTAGGTTTGAAAGAGGTTGGTAGCCTACATCACTCCCCCCATGAGACCTGGTGAAGGGCGATAGAAATCTGGAAATCGGACACGGTTAAAAGGTATGTATTACTTGTATGTAAATTTATTTAATATCTAATTAAAATATATATCCTACCTACGTACGTATTTTACTAAACTAGGTGTTATCTTGAAAAGTTGTGTAACTTCTGCTAGTAATAGTGGTGGTCAACCTACGAGTGTTGGCAGTCACACACATACTAATGATAGCGGAATTAAACAAAATAATTCTAAATAAATAATTAATAATATTATGACCTATTTATTGGTCTCTTGCCTAAATAAAATAAATAAATTATGTTTATTCAAGTAAACTAAATAATAAACATTTTTGTACCCTCATTTTTTTATGACTCTACCTATAATATATCATATAATCTTTATTGAACTAAAACATACAGTAACAACAATAAGTTAATAACAATGTTAGCAAAGGCGAACTTATCTGTAAGAGAGATTTCTTCCAGTCAACCTAACGCAGTGGCATAGGAAGTAGTGAGTGGGCAGTAGTAGTGCTAAACAGAAGTTAAAATAAATATTTTCATAAATTATAAATCATTATATACATATGTATATTTAAAAAATAAAGTATTAATACATACATATAAATATAAACCTACATAAATAAGATCATATATGTGTGTGTGTGTATGTGTTAAATACAACATATAAAATCAAATGAACCTTTTAAAAAAATATTATTAGCTCCCTTGATTATTTGCACAAAGGTATAATTTTCTACATTTTCTCAGTTATTTTCTTTATAAAGATAAAATTAATTTGGTACGAAAACAAAACACAATCTATTAAAAAAATAGGAATCATCAAAATCGATTTAAAATTGGCGATCATATCACACACATACAAAAAATGCATGTGAGATGAAAAACTTTCTCCATTTTGTAATCACTTCGTAAAAAAAAAAGACCAATTATGAATACGAGTCGTTAATACAGGTGTCTAGAACTAAAAAAAATGTCAATTGCTTTTACTTACCTGCCTATTACATAAAACCTACTTAAACTAAATAAATAATTTTACACATTAGAACACTACCGTCTACATTGGCCCTGAAAAATCTTTTCATTATTATAAAAAAATAACAAGTAAAATTTTACTAACTTTCTAGTAGAAACACGCCAAAAAGTAAAATTAACAATTAACATTTTATTAAATTAAAGGACGATGAAATGACGTTTATATTTTTTCTTTTAATTTCATAAATAAATTTGTAGATAAATTATGCATGTACTTTATTTATAATTGTTCCATATATTGTATACTTATATAGCAGGACATGGAGATACTATTTAACTGATGTAATAATACCTTAATTTGACCTATGATCCACAATAAAGACATTTGTATTTGTAGAGTTAATAATTTCACAGTGCAAACACATAAACTTCTTGTTACACATTCGACTTTAAAAATGGCAAAAAGTGTTAAATTGTCATTTGGTTATAGATCATGAATATTTAACAAGATATATTGATCCTAGTTAAAAAAATTTTACTTTAACTAATAACTAATATCAAAACGTTATAGATAACTATAAATTTAAAAAAAAAATGTATTTAGATATTTTTCAATAAAGTGTAACAAAAAGACGAATGCAATGTTGTAAAAGAAGACATGTTAACTGCAATGCGCAATAACCTTACTTTATGGAATATAGAAATGAAGAGATAGTAAATTCATAAAAGTGAATAAGTTATAGAGGAACCTATGTAAGTATGTTATATCTACTTATATAATGACGTCGTAAATAAAATAGCTGATCCTGAACAGTAAAAGAGAAAGGGAATCACCGTAAAGAAAACAAAATGTTAAAATAAAAACAATTTACTGTTTATTTTTATGGCATTAACAAACTTTGTTCTCAAATACTATAATACATCGTTGGTACTGACATCGATTATTTAAACACTAATATATACATTGGGGATGCACTAATAACTTACAATGTAGACAACTAATTTACAGATAATTACAATTACATGGAAGTCATTAAATAAATACACAGCATATCAATAGGAAGTAAAGAGAGGGAACCACATAAGGGTACGTGACTCGACAAAACAAATCAAACTCAACAAACAGACGAGAGACATGATAAACGAAATCTCAGTTTACAATATAATCCTTAACTATTTAGCTAATGCAGAGATATCTATGGGAAGTAATCTCTTTTTGGTACCAATCTCACTTCACATAACTAACGAACCAGCGCTACTTTACCTTAAATATTTAATGATGCATCGAAAACAAAAATCACAGTTTAAACTTAATCGCCACACTACATGGCCTAGAACTCTCGATATTTACAAGCACATGATATGAGCCGCACTCCATTTATGATCTCCAACTATAACTCTAAAATCAATAAATAATGTTCATACAATTTTATAGTTTCACAGTCTGTAACACTTATAACTAAAGCCGCATCTGCCGCTGGTGCCGAACCTTAAAAGATTGGGATCTTTCAAGGAAGGCATGTCGGTCTTCAATATATGACAGAAACTGGCCGTCTTAACTGGTCGTCGTGGGGACTGTGCTGCGTTGGTGTCACTGGAGATACGGGTGATGAAGGTGCTGCGCCGTATTGTGGAAACAATGGCGACGAGAACGGCTTAGGTGGTGCCGCCGGCGATGTGTACAACGAAGAATAGAATGATGATACAACGGCAGCGGCGGACGACGATACCGTCGGTAATTTTTCCGCCGTCGGCGCCATCAGTTTGGAGAATTGCAGGTGATCCAACTGGTGTGGGAAGTACGGTGACACTGCAGGATACGATAGAGCGTCCAAGTGTCCAACAGCCGGTGCAGGACCCGCAAAATAAGGGAGCGGGAAACTCGGGAACGCACCAGCTCCTGGAGCCCCACCTGGGGTCGGGGGCTTAGGCTTCCTACGAGGCCTGTACTTATAGTCCGGATGCTCCTTCATGTGTAATGCTCTCAATCTCTTAGCTTCATCTATGAATGGTCTTTTCTGCATTTCCGTTAACAACTTCCATTCCGCACCGAGTCTCTTTGAAATCTCTGAATTGTGCATCTTCGGATTATCCTTTGCAATTTGACGTCTCTGAAGTCTAGACCAGACCATGAAAGCATTCATCGGTCTTTTAATGTGGCCCTCTGACTGCGGAGAGGATGCCGGGAGTGGTTGTGGTGCACTTGGATATTCCGGTAGCATACCAGGGTGCATTGAGAACGCGTATGGGTGATGACTCAAGGTCGACATGGTTACTGAACTTTTAAAAGCTAACTGTCAAAAGTTCTGTTAGAGCATTAGCTCTATGGTGTATGGCACAATGCGGTGAATGAGCACAGACGAGAAAGCGATTGTGTCGCGTCGAAGTCGAGCGATAGACTGATGGGTTAGTTCACTGTTCATGTCGGTATCGAAGCAAGGGGGGGCGCGGTTTCTGGGCGGTGTGCGAACACCCAATGGGGGCCGACCGTGTAAAGCCTGCGTCCCTCCTCAACTTTTGATACCGTCTCTTTTATTATTCAAGAAACTTGTATATATCTGTCTCTCTCGTAAAAAAAGCAGCCGGTATCGTTGCGCAGAGCAGTCGTCCAGCTGTTTAGAGGCATGTTGGGGGCTAGCGACGCAATGATGTAACTGCTTTACATTTCACTTGGATCAGAGAATTTCTCAACCATGTTATTGTACAATATAAACACTGCGTTTAGAACGTAGTGCCCAGTGAGATCGAAAATACAGCCACAGTATCTGTCGTCAGATCGTATTTGATATAATATTTATATACATATTTGATGTCTTGATTTATTTGAACAGCCTACTACAAAAGATATTTGAAAAGTATTTTGTGTTATCTAAACTAGTAACCCAGTATCGTCTTCGTCTGATCTTTTAGCGATTTACATTAATTATAATAAAATGTTTTGGAGATTTAAAATTCCTTGCCCATATGAGTATCGGAATTATAATTAGCTATTTCATGATCTTATAAACAAAATGTTTGCGTTTATAATGATTTTATTTAATTAATAATGAAAGAACCTTATTTACTGCGCGTTTTAGATATTTATATAACACTTATTGGCAAACAAACAGTAGGTAGGTACCTGTATTTCCTTTTAATATACCTTTTGTAATTAAAGTTATGGAATGAACTCCCTGTCGAGGGTTTTCCAAGAGACTATAGCATGGGATTCTTCAAAAAAGGGGTAAAGAAGTTACTTCAGGGTCGGCAACACGCGCATAATGCTTCTGGTATTGCAGGCGTTCATAGGCTACGGTAACTGCTAACCATCAGGTGGGCCGTATAGCTGTTTCCCACCTCAGTGAATATATAATGATTAATTAGTACAAAAAGAATATTAAATTATATAAACTACTACTTATCCTTTACCAGAGGGAGACTTTGTATGTACAAAAATCGTTTGCTTGGGCACCTCTGTCCCATTCGTGTTTCAACCATAAAGCAGTTATGTTTGCATGGCTGTGTTTCGGTTTGAAAGGTGGGAATATGGCGTGAATTTACAGGGTACAGAGGAATAACACCTGAGTCCTCAGGAATGGCAACGCATGGGGGTATCATGGGCGAAACAGTATACTCTGTTATGTCCATGGTACTGCTCATGTCTATAGGCGACGGTTACCACTTTCCATCAGGTGGACCGTCAGCTTGTTTACCATTCTAAGTTGTATAAAAAAAAAACTCATATTATACCTCAATGTGATAGTGAAATTGTTTATTTGTAACCTTATAGTGCCTTAACGGCTTAACCAATCACTATGACATGAAATTTAGTATAGGTACATGTAGTATATAGGACGGAGAAGTATACAGACTTCTTTTTATCCCGGTCATTATAACATATCCCGGTCACGCGGATGAAGGCACGGTATATATATATATATATATATAGACATATAGAGATCTAAAGATTGTTAGTATTCTGTCTATGTATTTCTATATAAATTATAGGTTTATAATAATTCTAAGAATAATAATATAATGGTACCTAAATCTATTATAAAATAATGAGTAGATATTAATCTAGCATTTTATTAAATTCCATGAAATTATGAGTAATTGTAAAATATTTGTTTGTGATAATAAACTGTTTATCATAAATATTAAAAATTTATTAATTACACTTTATGATTTATTACATCAAATAATGAAAATGTATAAAATACTAGCTAACGTTGTTTTACCATATACATTATTTCGAGAACTATACGTGAAAAATTATCGTACTACAATTATTATGTTCGATTGCCATCTTGCAACCCTATTGCGGCATATAAAAATCGCGATTAAAAAACAGGGGTTGATTGTAAAAGCGTGAAAATTTGAAGTTCTGCTGTGATACAGTTATGCAAACAACTGTATCACAGCAGAAACACGAATTTTTCTATTTTAAAAAAAGAATACTTTTACTTATTGAGAGAAAGGATTGTTTGTAATGGGTAGTGGTTTTTTTTTAACACACCATTTTAATAACACCATTAGGAAAATGTCATTTTTTTTATACAACTTAGAATGGCAAACAAGCTGACGGCCCACCTGACGGAAAGTGACAACCGTCGCCTATAGACATGAGCAGTACCATGGACATAACAGAGTATACTGTTTCGCCCATGATACCAGCCATGCGTTGCCATTCCTGAGGACTCAGGTGTTATTCCTCTGTACCCTGTAAATTCATGCCATATCCCACCCTTCAAACCGAAACACAGCCATGCAAACACAACTGCTTCACGGTAAAAACACGAGTGGGACAGAGGTACCCAAGCAATCGACTTTTGTACAAAGTCTCCCTCTGGTAGTGGTAGATTGTTAGTAGTTACTAATGTAATAGCTCCATCGCTGCAATCCGTTTAACCTATCCTACCCGTTTAACCTCCACGCAGTTCCCCCTGGAAACCATCGTGGTTAATTTTTATCAAAAACGTGAATTGGATTAACTGGCCTGCTACCATTTTCATCCTCGTCTATCATCTCTCACTAGTGCCTCGCCAGCGTATACCAATAGCACATGCGGAGTTACAATTTCATTTTCACCCGTTTAAAAAAACTTATACGTACTTATTTGTAAATTCAACTATATTTATTTATCCATTATAAAATAATATGTACAAAAACAATGCAACTGATTTTTAATAATATAAAATAGTTATAAAAGTAACTTTTTCGTGAAACCATTCCACCAGTAGAAAGAAAAACTTATAATACTAGTAACGCCATCTAGTGATTACTATAGTAAACTAGTGTATAAAAACATCGCGGCTCCAATTTTTCAAATTGATTTTTGGATTAGGATTTTTAATAAATGGCAATTATATGTACATAATTAGTTGATTTTATTATTTTTATGTAAACAGTTTGACCATGTGTTATTGTGAATATTTAATAAATATAATTGACATAATTTAACAGGAGACAAAAAACGTCTTAATGCTAAAAGGTGAAGTAGTTAATTTTATACATATATTCTCAATGAAATAATTTAAATATTATTTCTCTATATAATATAAAAAGAAATAAGTAAAACACATATACTAGTCTTGCTTATTTATTTATTTTTCTCCCGCGCACAACCACTCTTTGGAATCAACTTCCAGCAGCAGTATTTCCGAACCGATACGCCAACATAACCTTCAAGAATAGAGTATATTCCTTTTTAAAACGCCGTCAGCACACCTTCAATGCTGTTAGTGTTGTGGGTGATCATGGGCGGCGGTAGTCACTTACCACCAGGTGAGCAGCATGCTGGTTTGCCCCCTGTGTTGTAAAAAAAAACTATAGTAGCTAGTCATCATATTTTATATAAATTATACTAAAATCATTATTTAATTGTATGTATTCCAGAGATGACTAAGCAAACTGAATTAACTTAAAAATCACGTCAATAGACAATTTTTCAATTTTTTTTTTTTTTATATAACTTAGAATGGCAATCAAGCTGACGGCCCACCTGATGGAAAGTGGTAACTGTCGCCTATAGACATGAGCAGTACCATGGACATAATAGAGTATACTGTTTCGCCCATGATACCCCCCATGCGTTGCCACTCCTGAGGACTCAGGTGTTATTCCTCTGTACCCAGTAAATTCACGCCATATCCCACCCTTCAAACCGAAACACAGCCATGCAAACACAACTGCTTCACGGTAGAAGCACGAATGGGACAGAGGTACCCGAGCAATCGACTTTTGTACGAAGTCTCCCTCTATAAATGCATCATCGTCATATCAGCCTTTAACTGTCCACTGCTGAACATAAGCCTTGCGGGCTTTTGCCAGTAGTTGCCACACTTTGTAAGCGGCAACCGCAGTTAAGGTTTCGAGATATTATAAGAGGGACGTTACTCCCCATACCCTGCCTTCCCTTATTTGCCTCTTACGACACCCACGAGAAAGGAAGGGGGTGACCTAGTCTATGCCGGAACCATACGACCATCTACGGGAAAGGAATGGGTGCAAGAATTTAATCATCATTCATCATTTCAGCCATTATCCGTCCACTGCTGGGCATAAGCCTCTCCCATAGACAACTATAAAGAACGTTACTGAGCCACCTGCATCCATTAACTCCCTGCTGGAAAAAATTTAATATAATTAATAAATAATCATTATAAACTACATAGTATAAAGCAAAGTCGCTGTCGCTGTCTGTCCGTCCCTATATATTGTGATGGTTCGCCTATGGTACAATAGGTTTAATACCATAAGTACATAGAAAAGAAACAGGGGTTCCTATGGGTGACCGCTGCGAAAACTGAGCTATTTAATATAAACAAACTTTAAAGTCAAGGTTCACAATAGCGTACAGAGAAGACGTTACCATATATGAAATATTGACACAGAAAGGAAACTCCTTTGATGTGTTTCCAAAGTGTAGTGGATGTCACAAGAAAATTTAATAAATTAAACAAAAATATATTATATTTTATATATAACCAAATTATAGTTTACCTTTTATCATCAGATGTAAAAAAGGATGCATACAACACAGTTTAATAAGGTTTATGAGAGCCTTTAAAGTTTTATAAATTCGATAATCAATTTAATAGAAAATACCAAAATACGTTAACATATAATTAAATTGAATTTGAAGAAAAGTTCAGTTCGAATAATAGGCTAAATCGCTGTCCGGATACTTGCAAAATTTAAAACATCTAGCGACGACCTGCAACTTCGGATCGATGCTCGAAGAGAATCTTCGAGATCAGTTCGTGTCCGGTCTGAGCAGTGATGACATGCGATCGCGTTTATTTGCCGAAAAAGACATAACATACAAAAAGGCGGTGGAACTAGCTCTGGCATTGGAGGCTGCTGATAAACATGCCGAGGCGAGCGCTACTCATGGCGGTGCGGGCGGCCGGGACAGCGGCGCGGGCAGCAGCGCGGGCGCAGGCGGCGTGTGGGCGCACGGCGGAGGCGGCGGCGGCGCCGACAGGCCGACCGACGGCCTGCACGCGGTGCGCAGCGCACGGCCCGCGGGGAGCACGGCGGCGGCGAGCGCCACTTGTTGGCGGTGCGGTAAACCGCATCGAGCAGATAAGTGCCGTTTTAAAAATTATTCATGTGATAAGTGTCAGCGTAAAGGTCATTTGAAAGTGATGTGTAAGACGTCAGAGAATAAAAGACACAATTTCATCGAGGATGAATCAGACAGTGATTTATATAATATACGGGTGATGTCTTCCGGAGACAATCCTTATTTTGTGGACGTTATTATAGACAATAAGATAATTAGATGTGAAGTCGATACCGGTAGTAAGATATCTGCAATCAACGAACATTATTATAGAGATTTTTTTACTCATTATCCTTTACAAAGCGATCATATTAAATTGTGTTCATACTCTGGTTCGACTATAGAACCTATAGGTTATATTGTAGTAAACGCGTGTATTAATAAAATTACTCAAAATAAATTAAAATTATATGTAATAAAAAATGGTAGTCGCCCACTGTTAGGGAGGAGCTGGATTCGTAGATTCAATATTAACCAGTTACATATTAATAGTATTTGTGAAAGAGATGATAGCGAGTTCCGTACTAATATTGTAAATCAATTAAAAAAAGATTACCCACAAGTATTTACAGATAAGTTAGGCACATGTAAAAAAACAATCCGATTACAGTTAACAGACACGGAATCGGTGTACATGCGGGCGCGACCGGTACCGCTCGCGTTACGCGCGGCGGTTGAGCGTGAGCTGAACCGACTGCAAAAGGAGGGTTCTATATATTCCGTCGAACATTCCGATTATGGAACACCTATTGTACCAGTAATTAAACAATCAGGTGAAATTCGTATTTGTGGAGATTACAAAACAACTATAAATCCTAAATTAAAAAGAGATCATTATCCCCTGCCTCGGATAGAAGAATTATTTGCTGCCTTAAGCGAAGGAGAAGAATATTCGAAAATAGATCTCACCACTGCCTACATGCAGGTCCCGCTGGAAGAGGACTCCCAAGCGGTGACTGCCATATCCACGCATCTAGGTACATTTGTATTTCGACGTACACCTTATGGTTTAAGTTGTGTACCTGAAAAATTCCAAAAAATCATGGAGGAGACCCTACGCGGTCTTCCGAATACAGTAGTGTTTTTAGACGACATCTGTGTCACAGGACCTGACAGGTACAGTCATATACAAAATCTGCGTGCTGTAATCAAAAGGTTAGCTGAAATGGGCCTCACTATTAAAATTAATAAATGTTCTTTTTTACAAACTAGTGTATCGTACTTAGGTTTTGTAATAGACAAAAAAGGGTTACATCCAGATTTATTAAAAGTGGAAGCCATATTGAAAGCACCACAACCAGATTACATCAATCCGAGTTACATCAACACAACTAAAAGCTTTTTTAGGACTAATTAATTATTACGGAAAATTTATTCCGAATTTGAGCTCCTTCCTCCATCCTTTGTACCAATTATTGAAAAAGAACTCACCATGGAATTGGAACAAAACATGTGAGAAAACGTTTCAGGAGGTTAAACAATTTCTGTCTAGTGACAAAGTTTTAATTCATTATAATGCGTCATTACCTTTGGTACTATCGGTAGATAGTAGTAGCTATGGACTAGGGGCAGTTTTAGCGCATAGGTATCCAGACGGTACCGAGCGACCGATCAGCTGTGCTTCGCGAACACTTACGAACGCCGAAAAGAATTATAGTCAATTAGATAAGGAGGCATTGGCTATTTTGTACGGTGTGCAAAAGCACCATCAATTTTTATACGGCCGATCATTTGTATTAAAAACGGACCATAAGCCATTGACATACATTTTTGGTTCAAAAGGAGGTATACCACAGACGGCGGCGAGCAGGCTGCAACGATGGTCAATTAAACTAGCAGCTTATGATTTTGAAGTGGAATATGTGAGCTCTAGGAATAATAGTAACGCAGACGCCTTATCTAGGTTACCACTGCAAGGGGAATTAGGTCTAAAGGTGTCAAATAAAACCAATACAATAGGCAAAAATAATGAATCACATTATTTAAATTTAATAAATGAAACTTTGCCAGTTAATTATAAAGATATCGCTGTCGCAACTAAATACGATTCATTGCTGTCAAAAATATATGGTTACATTATGTATGGTTGGCCGAATGTAACTTTTACGGAATTTGAGAAACCTTTTTACAATAGACGGACGGAACTATATGTGGAACATGGGTGTATATTATATAAATATCGTGTCGTAATTCCGAGTAAATTACAACAACAAATATTATCAGAGATACATGAAGGTCATTTAGGGGTGATCAAAATGAAATCAATCGCCAGGAATTATGTTTATTGGCCCGGGATAGACCTCGATATTGAGAGGGTAGGACGTGAGTGCGAGGCGTGCCGGAATGTCCGTGATGCCCCACCGCGGTCCTCACTGCATCCTTGGGAGTTCCCTGCGGCACCATGGCAACGATTACATGCCGATTTTGCACAATTGAATGGAAAGTACTATATTGTGGTAGTCGATGCCAACTCAAAATGGTTAGATGCAACACTGTTACGTAGTACTTCAGCTAGTGACACTATTCAATATTTTCGTAATTTATTTTCAATATTTGGTTTGCCTTTACAATTGGTGACGGATAATGGTCCCCCATTTCAGAGTCACGAATTTAATGATTTTTGTAGAAAAAACACAATTAGACATTCTACTTCATCACCATATAGACCACAAGGTAATGGAGCCGCAGAAAACTCTGTAAAAACAATAAAAAAAGCCTTAAAGAAAGCTATTTATGAAGGAAAAGATTTGGCCCTAGCATTGAGTCGATTCCTCTTTCAATATAGAAACTGTGAGCATGCTACGACTGGTGTGGCACCAGCAGTCGCTTTACTGGGACGGCGATTACGTACTAGATTAGATGCGGTGCGACCTAATACTAGTGATATCGTTAGACAGGCGCAAGATAAACAAATACTGAATGCTGGCGGGGTAGACAGAACTTTTGAAGTGGGGGATAGTGTGTTAGCAAGAGACTGTTCGTCGCAGGGGGACAAATGGACCGAAGGCCGGATAACGTCTAAAACAGGGCCAGTCTCGTATACAGTTCAGTTAAATACTGGAAACCCTTGTCGTAGACATTCAGACCAATTATGGCCTCTAACACGTAATAGGTTCTCAATGTCAGGTTCAAATAGCAACGAAATATCAGATAGTACTAATAATCAGTCATTTGATAATGATATTCAACAAACACAACAGAAAAGAAATAGCTCGCACAGTCCTATAATAGGTGAAAATAAGAAACGGGAAGAAAAAGGGAATATGTCAACCAATGTAAAGAGTTTAGAGTTTGAGCAACAGCCACCATTAGATCAGGGTAGTGATCGGGCTAGGCGCGCGCATGAAAGAGAATTACGCAAACAGGGGATGGAGATATGAGCCAATTTCTAGTAATACACGTATATGTTATGTGCGATATATTGTGTTTATTGCTTAATTTTATATATATTTATAAACTTAAGATACTAAGATTATATACCTATCGTTAATATATGCAACTATGTTTTACATTAAGAAATAAACGGATTATATAAACATAAAAAGATGTTACTACCACGGATAATAGTTGTATTTCAAATTAAGTTGAGATAACAGAGATATTCTCATAAAATGTATTTTTGTTCTTAGTATTTCGTTGTGTAATTCTTTTATTTAACTTATGTATCATTACCGTATAAACAAACGATTGTCTTAAATTAAGTGGGGAGAAATGGAGGGTAGTTTAATAGTTTATATTAAGACGGGTGGAGGAGATTTGTTCTTTTTTCAATAAACCAGTTAGTAACTGACTGCATTGTTTCACTGACGTTACAGTAGGTAGATATATTTAGTACCAGCATTGCACCCGTGCGAAGCCGGGGCGGGTTGCTAGTAATATAAAAAAAAGAACTAACATGTTTATATATATATATATATATATATATATATATATATATATATATATATATATATATATATAAATCTATTTTAAAATTAGTTGAGATGATGAAGATATCTCTGCAAAATCAAACTGAAATTTTAAACTTAGATATACGTTTATGGAAACAGCACCATAGAATTGACTTAAATGTTATATCCCTACTTAAAACTTAATAATTTTAGTATCATAAATGTGATATCCTATAGTACCTTAACAACTTAATCAATCACTATGTAATTTTGTACACGTGTACTGTATAAGGCCGCCGTTTTAGTCTCTGTATACTCGTAGAATAGGCCACACCTTTCTTTCCCGTGGATGCCATAAGAGGCAACTAAGGGCGAGGGATGGGCAGCAGCGTCCCTCTTAAAACATTTCCTAAAGCCGAACTGCAGTTACCTACCTGTCTGCCAAGCGTGGTAACTGGCAAACCCCCCTCCCCCCCCCCCTTTATGACAAGGAGGGGCTATGCTCAGCAGTGGACAGTTAATATATGATGTAGCAACTGTATTATATGTAATACATATCACCTTCTTGGGGGGAAAAGGGTTGTTAGCAATGGAGTTTGACAGCCCCATTGCTAGCAATATGCCCTATCAGGTCGACCTCCACGTGGTTCCCCCTGGAAACCATAGTGATCAATTCTTGTTGAATTCGTCACGATGGGCTAACTGACCTACTTCATCCTCACCTATCATCCTTCACTGGTGCCCCGCCGGTGTATACCGATAGCGCGGGTGGGGTTACCATTCCATTATGACTGATAAAAAAAAATATCACTTTCTTGCTGCTGTGAAAAATAAGCACCCGAAGCACTATCAAAATAAATTACGCGTGCAAGACTTAAATAGCTATTAGAGATTTATGCTGCATGCATGCAGCTTAAATCAACAAAGACGCTTAAGCTTAATACTCATCTCCCAATCGCGAACCAAATAATTTTGGAAAAAAACTGTGTTAAATGGAGAAAGATACATTTTAACCGGATCAGTAAATATATTCCGTTTACGTGGAGAAAGTAAACTAAACCGACTAAACCGCCTTTCAAAAAAAGCGTTCACGCTCACTTTTTATCTTTATCCGAGCAGTAAGTGCTTTATATTATTCCCAAATTCGTGTATAATATAGTATATATCATATATGTGTAAGTATATTTCTTATTCATATATATTTATTCGTTTATACACTCCTCGCAAAAATTAAGGGAACATAAAAAATTTTGAAATTTTTGGGTGATTTTCAACAGGCTGTATTTCAGTGAAAAATAATCGTACAGGAAATTTAAAAAAGGGTTTTGAAGCTTGAAAACTCTAGTTTTCAGATTTTTTGGTGAAAAAATTTTTGAGCTCCGGTTTCCATGCAATTCTTAAACAAAGCTGAAAATAATTTTTTTCTAAATTTTCTAGGTTTCGTTTTTCACTCTATGGGCATGGAAAAATTTTTTCGAGCTACTCCATTGTATAGGTCTCTTAGCGTGTTTATTCAGCTTCAAAAATCGCTTTGGAAGGCTCAATTACGACCATTTGTCTCCGAGATATCGAATTTTGAATGCAAAAGCATCCTTTTCCATTCAACTGCTAATATCTCTGGAACTACTGGTCGCACAGCAAGCGGGCGCCGAGTTTCTTTATCTGCATAAAATTTTCAATTAAGCACAGTCAAGAGTTAGTGAAGAAAAAAATTTTTTCCACCTCTAACATTGAATTGAAAAAAATGGAAAAAAGTGACTTTTTCTCCTTTTTTGGTTACTTGGCTGTATCTTCGCTAATATGGGCGGGAAAGCTAAGGTTTGAGGAAAATTTTACAGTCTATTGTTCCTTAAAGAACCCCTAAATCCCTGGAGCGATCGGTTCAACGGTTTTTCCCGGACCAATTGATTGAAATTTTGGAAAAAATAAGGGAACAAGGTTTTTGTCCCTTAAATTCACCCTAATCCATCCAAAAATCAATAATTTCATTTGTTTTTCACTTTTTACTCAATTTTTTGTTTTTTAAAAATTCATTATCAAAAAAAAATCGAAAAAAATCAAGAAACGTTTTAAGAAAAAAATTTTTTTTGAAAAGTCGAAAAAAGTTTAACCCAAAGCATACCACGTGGAGGTTGCACGGTCGGATTTACGTGCGTAAGCACAAAAGAAGCGTAAATCCGACCGTGCAACCTCCACGTGGTATGCTTTGGGTAACGCTAATGCCGGCGGTAAATCGATCATCAATCAAAGTTTTTGTCAAAAACTTTGATTTCCTTAAAAACGAAAAAAAAATTTTTTGTAAAATTTTTTGTAAAAGTTTAACCCAAAGCATACCACGTGGAGGTTGCACGGTCGGATTTACGTGCGTAAGCACAAAAGAAGCGTAAATCCGACCGTGCAACCTCCACGTGGTATGCTTTGGGTAACGCTAATGCCGGCGGTAAATCGATCATCAATCAAAGTTTTTGTCAAAAACTTTGATTTCCTTAAAAACGAAAAAAAAATTTTTGTAAACTTCTTTCGACTTTTCAAAAAAAATTTTTCTTAAAAATTTTCTTCATTTTTTCGATTTTTTTTTGATAATGAATTTTTAAAAAACAAAAAATTGAGTAAAAAGTGAAAAACAAATGAAATTATTGATTTTTGAATGGATTAGGGTGAGTTTAAGGGACAAAAACCTTGTTCCCTTATTTTTTCCAAAATTTCAATCAATTGGTCCGGGAAAAACCGTTGAACCGATCGCTCCAGGGAGTTAGGGGGTTCTTTAAGGAACAATAGACTGTAAAATTTTCCTCAAACCTTAGCTTTCCCGCCCATATTAGCGAAGATACAGCCAAGTAACCAAAAAAGGAGAAAAAGTCACTTTTTTCCACTTTTTTCAATTCAATGTTAGAGGTGGAAAAAAATTTTTCTTCACTAACTCTTGACTGTGCTTAATTGAAAATTTTATGCAGATAAAGAAACTCGGCGCCCGCTTGCTGTGCAACCAGTAGTTCCAGAGATATTAGCAGTTGAATGGAAAAGGATGCTTTTGCATTCAAAGTTCGATATCTCGGAGACAAATGGTCGTAATTGAGCCATCCAAAGCGATTTTTGAAGCTGAATAAACACGCTAAGAGACCTATACAATGGAGTAGCTCGAAAAAATTTTTCCATGCCCATAGAGTGAAAAACGAAACCTAGAAAATTTAGAAAAAATTTATTTTCAGCTTTGTTTAAGAATTGCATGGAAACCGGAGCTCAAAAACTTTTTTCACCAAAAAATCTGAAAACTAGAGTTTTCAAGCTTCAAAACCCTTTTTTTAAATTTCCTGTACGATTATTTTTCACTGAAATACAGCCTGTTGAAAATCACCCAAAAATTTCAAAAATTTTTATGTTCCCTTAATTTTTGCGAGGAGTGTATATGTAATTTTAGTGTGTATGTATATCAATAATTAGTAGTACAGCATTCGAGTATTCTGACACTTCCCTATGGTTGACTGGGAGAGAATGCTTTTAGCATTAAGTCCGCCGTGTACACATATTTGTACTAATGAATAAATAAATAAATACGCTCTGAAGAATTGTTCGTATTGATACCTGCTGCTGATTTTCACCATCGTACAACCCGCCATAAACTAAAGTTTCATCCCAACCATCTGGACGAGAGGCGGTCCTCCACCGTGCGTTTTTCAAGACACTTTCTCCCGCATACAACCACTCTTTGGAATCAACTTCCAGCAGCAGTATTTCCGAACCGATACGACAACATAACCTTCAAGAAAAGAGCATATTCCTTTTTAAAAGGCCGGCAGCACACCTTCAATGCCGCTGGTGTTGTAGGTGATCGTGGGCGGCGGTAGTCACTTACTCTATTTAAATACCCAAAACTCTGTTTTGGGTATTTAAAAAGTAATAAAGATCACTTTCATTGTGAAGTAAAGATGGACAAACTATTTACCTTTTGTGTACAATAACGACTTTATAACTGGACTATACAAAATACACAAAAGCTAAAATTATTGTATAGAAAGTAATTTTACAATCACAATAAATTAAACACGCTGGCTGTACTTTTTTCTTTATCCACTGTCTCGGTAACTTAGGTTTGCGATCGTAACAGTAAGTTGTTTACATTTAACATTGTAAACAAATTAACAAAGATAAACAAACAAAGTACCGGAAAGTTTTATGAGCGGATATTGTATTTTGGTTTCTTGTCAATTTGTTTTTTTTTTTGTTGCCCACGGTACTGCTCATGTCTATAGCCGACGGTTACCACTTTCCATCAGATGGACCGTCAGCTTGTTTGCCGTTCTATGTTGTATAAAAAAAAAATATAGATATTTATATATTTACTATTATAATGTATCATTAACAACTTACAACAGAGTACACTGTTTCGCCCATGATACTTCCCATGGGTTGCCATTCCTGAGGACTCAGGTGTTGTTCCTCCATACTCAGTAAATTCACGCCATATCCCACTCTTCAAACCGCTAGATAGT